ATAAGAGTAATGAATGTAGGAAATTAAGTAAGAACTACCTCTGGCTTCTAAATAGAATGAGAGAGAGAGAGAGAGAGAAGGAGAGGGAACAGAAAAAGCTAATGAGTAAGAGTAGAAGACTTGACTAAGCTGGAGTTTGTTTTTAGGCCTAAAATTGCAAGCACGCATCCCCGAAGCGGTAACAAGACCCAGGACTACTGGATCATACTCTAGTTTATTTACATTGACAAAAGTTGTGACCACATCCGCTCCCCTTCCTGCATCACTTTGACCCACTTACAGCATGTAAGACAAGCATACGTCAGCAAACCAAATCATGGAATGCCTCATTAAGATCGCAAAGTGAGATATAAGAAGTAAGTAGGATCTCAGATGACGACCTTTCTTGGTTTAGTGTTTTTGGTGATTTCGCACAATTCAACAGAAAAAATACCAAGCCAACCCTCCTGCGGTATCCGCTGAGGGCAATCTACGAATCCCTGGGACCCGCCTTCTAAAACAAAATTAATGGTTCGTTAGTATCAATCTATTAAAGGATTATTCGAAATCTGGCTTCTCCTCATATCTACAAATAGTTCCCACTCATTTTCGTTCACTCGTTCCTCCTATTTAGGACGCTGACTGTTTGATTAATTTCTATAATCTCACTAATTTTAAGTTTTGATGTGAAGTCCCCGCAACCCGCAAAACGTTACCTTGTGTAAGTAAAGGGAGAGAGAGAGGAAGAACAAGAATAATCACGGAACAAGAGAAAGAGACTGGAGGAAACTCGAGCCTAGCTAGGACTATCACACATCTCATGACACGAACAGTACGTACACATAATAGAGAATAGAACAAGCCCAAATATACATTAACATTAGAGGATGGTACAGTAATTTATTTGTGTAATGAAACAGCTGCCACCAAACACACTTGTGGTTCGTGAAGTAACTTCAATCATCTGCAAGCATGTAGAGTAAGGTTGACGTAGCCAACCAAATAATGGGCTGCCTCATTAAGATCGCTAAGTTATGTTTATAAACATGTGGATGGCATTACAACCGGCCACCTTTTTACTTAACTTAGCATACTTTTCCTCTATTTTGTAAGGTATGAATTCTTGCTCTGATTATGTCTGTGACAGAACAGATGAAGGCTTAGCACAGTTTTATCGAGGTCGCAGAATTGTGAGCCAAAGACTTCCTCGTACAACACAACAGTCTTCCTTACGCGTTAATCCTCAAACGGTTTCCCGTCAGACCACATTACGTATTCTCTCCAACCAAGTTTTCCTTTAAAATAAAAAGTGATGTCACAGCATATCCCTAAGGAATTTTTCGAAACCCAGTTTTGCTTAATACAGGCAGAGAAATGACCTTATAGCAACATCTAGCGACCCAATTAACTACTTATGTCAGTCGTTGTCCGAGCTCGAAGCCTCACCTTACGAAAGCCTACTAAATACTTTAATCATAATAAGTGTAGTGTAAATAGTGCGAAAGGCTCAATAAAGAATTCGTGTTAATGTATTTTTTATCTTTCCAGATTTTAAGTTTTAAAAAAATTAGTATCAGTGATAAGAAATCGCTATTTTGCGTGCATTTACAATGATGCTAGACTAACCTCGTTCAAGTTTCACCTGATTTGATATTGGCTCACTATACTCGGATGAGTCAGTAGCGGATTGTTGAAGCGAGTTTCCATCCAAGCAGGTCACCTCAATATTTGAGGAGTGATCTCGTGCCAGTATCGCCGAGGGAGGAGTAGCCTGTATTGACGTATGATTAGCCAGAAAAGTTATCCCATTATTATCGGAGTTATGGCCAGCTTGATTTGATAAGGCTTTCGGTGGAAATCCATATTGTGGAGATGCTTCTATAACAAGGACAGTTTGTTAAAATTCAATTTAAATTAATTATCTAGCTCCAGATCATAACACAAAAATGATATTGTTTAAATTACCCTGTTTACTTAAAAGTAACGTCCTTTCTGAGATGTACATGGTACATCTTAAACTAATTGTAAATAATAATAAAAGCATAAGATCTCACGCCTTTTATACATGCAATTAAGGAAAGCTGATAACTTTTAGACAAATTCTGTTAAACATTTTTGATCGAAGGTATGATGACCAGGATGGTGTGGCCTTTTGTATGGTCGCGGTCTCCTCTCATTGTCTAGAAGTTGTCTGACCTTGTTTTCGCAAATTAGTCATATTGGCAGGAAGACCTAGTGGAACACACCTTGTCGGGAGTCCATAGTATGCAGGATAATTTCCAGAGTCGAACCATGGACTTGATACATTCCGCGACGTTTTGTCAGCATCGTATTCGGCATCGTCAGTGAGCCTTGCCATTCTCAATAGCACACTACAACTCGTCAAAAAGACAAGTGAAGTCGATCCTTTGACCAATTGTCTGCTAAATAGTTGTGGTATCTTTAGTTCCGTCCTGAATTATTCAGCGTGGGATGTGAAGAGTTTCATGAAATCTGCCCAAAAGAGCACGCCATCCCACATTCAAATATGCAATTAAGAAGTTATGATAGTGAATGAGTGGCACGAAGATATAGGATAGGTGAATAGCCCAGGACAGAAGGAGAGATATCACAACCGTTTATCTGACAATTATTCAAAGGATCGACTTCACTTGTCTCTTTGACGAATTGTAGTGTGGTGCTAAGAATGGCAATGCTCAATGACGATGCGGACTACGATGCCTGCGAAACGTCTATGAATGTACCAAGTCCACCGTCCGACACTAGAAAGTATCATGCATACAATGGACTCCAGACTAGGTGCGTTTCTCTAGGTCTTCCTGTCAGTACGACTGAGTTGCGAAAGCAGGGTCAAACAACTTCTAAATATTTTTGAGTTGGTAAAATTGGTTGCTCAGCAAATAAGTCTAGAGGAAGACGGGTTAATAAGTTTTGATATGTCTTTGCACAGAAATATTCCTGTTCAATTAGTTATCAAGGCTCTAATTCAAACTCTGGAGCACCCAGACAGTATACGATTAAGTATAGCTTCCATGCCTACAATTTTTAATCCATCTAAAAATGGCGATAATTTTAGCTTTGGCGTTAAGTTATATGTACAGTAAGTGCATGGTCAAATTTGAAGAACATTTAATGAAAGAGGCAATAGTACTTCCCAAATGGATTATTAGTTTATCATCTGAAAGATTGGATCGTTTCCTGCTTTCAACTAAGCAACGTGAGCGCAAAATAGAAGAGAACAGGATATTCTGGTTATTTGACAAGATGTCATGCTAATAAGAGATGTTTACACGAAACTAACACATGTTGATTCCTTTCTGAATATTCTTTCCAGCTGTAGTTACATAACTAAGGTGGAAATGTCAAGAAAATGATTATTAGGAGTATGAAACTAGTGAATAGTAATCATTTAACTTAAGAGTTGGAAAAGCTAAAAGATTTATACCTTGAAAATAACTATCATTTGTGCTTAATTGATAATATCTGTTTAGTGAGTAATAAAATTTCAGACCGAGACTAGTTGGTAAGAAATATACAAAGTGAGACCAATTCACATGTTTAAATCTTGCCGTCCTGCCTACTTTCTAAGATGATAGACGTGAAGAAGTAGGTGATGAACACAGTTTTCAACGAAGATCTAACACTTTCTTCGGTTATTTCTTCTTTTGAATATAAATATGACCTATTCTCGTGATCCGGATTTTAAGAGCGTGTGTGCAGCTGTGGTCAAACTTATATTGACCTATTCACCAAAGGTCAGGTGACCAGAAAAATGCGTGTAAAGAGAGCTGGATCCAACAATCAAAAATGGTTGGACACATGGCAGAGACTGGAAATGAGATAGAACAGCCTAAAGAGCATATGTTTGCTGATTATAATGAGTCTGTTGTTAAAATGAATAAAAAATAGACCATTGAAATAGATAGATTAGGGAATAATTTAAATGTGATGAAGGGTGATAGAAAGTTGAGTATGAACTATTTATGCTTTATTGAAAGATTGAGGGAGAGTAAGGGTGTTGATCCGCTATCCAAAAGAAGGCGATTTAATCTCTCCGTCCAGTGATGGTTTAAACCGCATTCCTATTCCTTCACCAGGCCTATTAAGCTCATCAACGAAACCAGGCTTATGAGCTTACGCAATCCCAGTCATGCCCATCCTTGGGTCGTTAAACCTTAATGATCATAGAATATATGAAGACCAAGACTTTAACCTCTGGTGTGGTCGCAGTCTCCTTTCGATTTATAGAAGTGGGTTGACCTCGTTGTCGCAACTTGGTCTTGTTCTCAGGGCGACTTA